AGTCCGGAGAATGACCCCAGGCCCCTACGGCGGCACTCTTTTTCACATAAAGGGTTTCGATCATATCTTTCGAAGAGGTGTTCTGTGCAAATGGGACAGCTCCATTTCAGAGGGTGGGGGCAGGGCAAAAAAGAAGAAGAAGAAGAAGAAGAAGAAGGTGGTCCCTGGACACTTTTGCTCTCTTGGAAACTCAGTAAGATTCTTTCTTTTTTTTTTTTTTTTTTTTTGAGACAGAGTCTCGCTTTGTTGCCCAGGCTAGAGTGAGTGCCGTGGCGTCAGCCTAGCTCACAGCAACCTCAATCTCCTGGGCTCAAGCGATCCTCCTGCCTCAGCCTCCCGAGTAGCTGGGACTATAGGCATGTGTCGCCATGCCTGGCTAATTTTTTTCTATATATATTAGTTGGCCAATTAATTTCTTTCTATTTACAGTAGAGACGGCCAATTAATTTCTTTCTATTTATAGTAGAGACGGGGTCTCGCTCTTGCTCAGGCTGGTTTTGAACTCCTGAGTAAGATTCTTTTAATTGTTTGCATGACCCTGTGTGTCCAAGGCACAGGTAACAGGTGCTCTCAGATCTGTTCATGCCAGTGTTTAATGTGCATGCATAAAACTGAAATCTTTGCTTTCCCCAATGTTCTGTTTATGATGATGCGATAGGAGTTAAGGCCTGGTGGCATTTAATGTACTATTGGGGAAAAAAATGTATGTTGCAATTGCGCTGTGTTCCTTGCTTGCTGTGTGGTCTCAATTTCATATTTAGATGTGGAATCTTTATGTTCTATACACACTTCATATATTGTATGTGTATAGTACGTATTTATATATGCTGCATGCCTTTTCTTCCCCTTTTGGGAAAGGCATGTTCACACCGTGGCAGCAGGGAGACTGGATCCCGCACTTGCAGAGGCTGCTGGAGCGGCGGCAGCAGTTCTGGCGCTGGAGGCCCATGGGCAGAGGCGGAGGCCTTGCCTTCGTTTCTCTGTGCTGGTCTGGAGGAATCTGGCGACTGCGGGGGAGTGCTGCAGCCTCACGGCCTCCGGGCTGCTCCTGCATCCTCGTTCCTCCTGGCGCTTCATTTTGGAGATGCTCTCAGATTTTTGCTTAGAGCTGAATCAAATGGCCTGTCGACATTTGCTGGTAGAGATTAGCAGTTTTCTACCCTGAGACATGGCTCGTGTAAAGTTGGTGATCTTTTGTTTCAGCACCATAAGAGAATGGTCCCACCCTGTGGCGGAAGGTACTGTCCCAGGGAAGGCCCAGGGGCAGCTCACCTCTGCTGTCCCCTCTGCAGAGGCTTCTGTGTTCTAGATTGTCGTTCGGCAGGGCATGTTCGGACATAGCTGTAATGCTGAGAACATATGAATAAAAACGTTTCTGGGGCAGAATTAATTTCTCAGTCTTTTTTGATTATTGAAAATAGTTTTGCTTTAACAAGCATTCTTTCCCTCACAGGTCTGCTTCTCATTTGGCCGGTCCTCTCACGAAGTCGTAATCTTGTGTTTATGGTGCGGTGGATAGCTACCAAGATGGAAACAATCATAAGGTCGCAGCTGCCCAGCACTCAGGGAGGACGGCACGCAGGGGAGCCTGCCACCCGAGTGGCCTGGGCCACTGCGCTCACCCCCGGCCGGACTTCAGTGCGCGGCCCAGCCGCCCGCCTTTCCCAGCCGTGTTCTCGCTCTGTGCCGGCTGTGGCCTCAAACGTTTGGGCGGCAGTCCAGGGGCCAGCTGCAAGCTGTGGCTCCGGGATTCCTCTGGGAAGGAGATGGGGCGAGGCTGCCCGGGACCTTTCGACAGGACACGCGCACAGGGACACGCGCCACACACCCGGGAGACTCGCACAGAAAACACCGCGCGCTCCCCGAAAACGGGTGGAGCCCAGCCATGTGCTTGGATGGCTTGGAGAAGGGAACATTTGGAAGGAAAGAGGAGGGAGTTTGTATATTTAATGTTACCCTTGGTGGGAAGCACAGAGAAGAGAATTGCGGCCACCAAAACTTACGAAGCTTTTCAGGAGATATTTTAATTCAACAAATTTAACCTTCTGAATGATACTCTTCAAAAGAAAATGAAAGGTGAGATTTTCACAATGTGATAGCAACAAAAATCAGCCTTTTGCTTTTCTGTAGGGTCCTTAACCTTGATCTCTTCCCATGCCATCGTCACCGTGCAGTGGGCTGTGGGGACTGCGCCGGGCCATGTGCCTCTGGCCCGAGGGCTTATCGGTGTTGCTGTGCCCTACTTCTTAGCCCTCCTCCTTCTTAACCCAGAGCCGCGGATGTTTCCTCTGCCCTTCTAGGTGCAGGAGGACTGAAGTCTCACGGGGGTTTTCAAGGGTGCGTGAAAAGCTCCACTTCCCTATCGAGGCTGGGTTTTCTTGGCACACGCCTCGCAGCTGCTTCAGAGATCTGCAGCCTTCTGAGTTTCGCACAGAATTCTCTAAGTTCAGTGGGATAAGAGCACAGTTTAGAGCCAACCTCGGGCAATCCATTACTTCTTAGACAGTGGAATTTAGCATAGGTCTGCGCAGATGGACTGGGGTGAGCTAGTGCGAATGACCAGCCAACTTCCAGGTTCAGTCTGGCTCAGGGTGTTGATAAGAAAGTCCTTCCGTAAGACGTCTGGTTAAGGCACATGGGAAAGGCTACACTGCGCTTGCCCTCACATGGGAATTGCATTGGAGAAAAGAACAGCCTGGCATGAGAAAATAAATCTGAGGCATGAGAAAACTGAAACATTGTTCAAGGACTTGGCAGATTTGTTTTCTGTGTTTGCCTGTTCGTGTCTTTTAGTTTAAATAAACGTTAGGGGTTAGGAATCTACCCTGTTGCCCATGGGCTTACTTTGATCAAGCTAAAACACACTGTCTCTGTCTTGATGGAGCCTGTGTTACATATAATTGGGGGTAACCAACAGAAACAACTCTGGGGAAGAATGAGGATGCTGAGTTTAGGACCACTGCATTGTTGTGAACTACAAACCCTTTTCTTGTTAGCAAACCCACAGGGGGTGAACTACAGACCTTATTTCCCTGCAAAAAGAGCTCTCGTGCTCTACAGAGAAGACTTGTTCCCCCGTCACTGTTGGTACCGTGTGGGAATATGGCGGCAGGCAGTCACCACGGCTAACGGGACCCAGGTTTGCCATCTGGGAAATGTTTGCCATGGGAGAGTTTCCAGGGGTGAGCTGCTTGCTATGGAGCCTCCAGGGTCTGTCTGCTTCTGTTACCCACACACTTACTGTCTTCCTGAGTGACTGTCTACACAGACTGGAGTTTTTGAAGATTAACGAATGGATGTGATTTCCACTTTGCAAAAACATTTCCTCAGTCAAAAGTCATTTGTACTTCCCCATTAATGCTATGTGGAAAAGATCACGGATTCCCTTTCTGGGAGTTTGCAAATGAGAATGTTAGAGTTCAGCTGTGATGAGAGTCAAGCCCTGCACCCCTGGTTGTTGGGCTGAATGTTCTCCTAGGAGGTGACAGGTTTTGAACAAGTCGAAATGCAGCTGGTGTCATTGTCACTGGGAGTCATGTCTGATGGCCATAAAGGACTCAAGGACAACTTTAGTTAGGAAGTCAAGGCCATGACAGCCAGCCCGCCCTTCCTACAGGCATGCTAACAGGCAAGGTGGCTGGCAATTGTGGAAAAGAGTCTCAAATGGCAAAAATGTAGTTTTGAGGCTGTTCCAGACAATTGCTGCTGGAGGGTTTAAGCTTTTGGTAGAAGCTTATTTCATGGGCAGATGCTACTGTGGAGCCAGAAGTAATTTAGCTCTGAAAATCAGCCCCGCTCTGGAAGTGGAGGCTACAGATGATTTCAGGTTTAAGAATCCACTCTGTCAGCTTGGACAAGCCCATCAGGATTTAAGATCTGCCACAGGCGCTACTTGCTATTGCTTAAGGAATGAGGCTGCTAATTAGCACTGTGCTTATACCAGATAAGGGTATCAAATCGCACTTTGTCTTTTGCCCCAATATGTCTTTTTTCAGCTCTGGTTGTCTGCTGGGACTGCATGAAAAACCAATAGGACAAACACTGTCTCTCTGAGGACGCCTAAGTCCAGCACTGTCCAAGCAGCCCCTCCAGTGTGGGCGACCCTGGAATGAGGGGCCAGAGGGCATCTTGTCACGGCGTGTCCTTCCAGAGCCTGAGAACTCTGACTGGGGCACGGGTGTCTTTCTTCCCAGTGGTTGGCTTACAGCGGAGAGTCTGATGGGAGTCTGGCCTTGATAAATCACTTAAAGGTGAAACTCAGGGTTCCCGGATGGATGGGGGAGCAATGACAAAGGCAGGAAGAAACAGGATTCAGCAGCCTTTTCTCTCAGTAAGAATTAAATCTGAGAAGAGTCCCGGGGCCCGGTTCTCACTGGGTGCGCTTCCCGGGCAGGCCCGGGTCTCTCCCCATCCTCGCCCCTCCCAGCTTTGGAGACACAGCCCTCCCCTCCTGCCTTCTGGGGGCCTACGGCCCGTGGCCCTCCTCATGTCACCACCAGCCCTGGAGTCGAGACTGTCCCTTCCAGCCCACTGCTCCTGCCAGGGTTCAGCCCTCGTGGTCGCCGGGCCCCTCTCTGGAGCCGTTCACCCGTTCTCGCGAGCTCACTGCCTGCCGTTTTGAGCCACCCCACCCCAGCTGCTGGCCGTGCCCATGGCAGCAGCAGTGACAGTAGCAGCTGGTATTTTGTGCTTGGGTCCTGTATGGCAGCCACCTCCAAATATCAATGCCATACAAACGCTGACCCCTTTGTTTCCTCCACTGACGCACTGCATGGTAGATGCGAGTCCTGTGCCCTTCACAGCGAATGAGCTGAGAGGTCAGGGTGCACAGTCAGCACTTGGCGAACCGGGTTTCAGACTAGGGTGGTCGAGTCTGGATTCCAGGCACCACGTTGAACCATGTTAGCTTTGGCCACGTGGTGGCCGTCCCACGTCTTTCAGCAACGCCGGAGACAAGCTGACCTGTTTTCTTTTTCTCCCCAAACAGCCAGCACATTGGCCACAGGGGGACATGGGCAGCCAGCTGGAGAGATGGTCCCACGTCGCGCCTCCCCGCCGCCCGCCCGCGGCCACAGGCGCCAACGCAGAGCTCAGCCTTGCACCTGCGCCACCCACCCTCCAAGGGAACCGAACGGTGAGTAGATTTGGTCTTCAGTTCAGCCCCGAGGGGCGGGCCGGGCTGCCTGGGACGGAGCAGGGAAGGCCGTGAGGAGCCCGGTCTCGGAGGGAAGGTGTCCGCGCAAGGGCATCGGCCTGCCCTGGCCCAGCAGGGGCAGACTGGCCACCCGTCCAAGGGCACTTCTCTGGCTTTGCTTCTCCGTGGCTGTGAGAGTCGCCATGCCCGGCGCCAGCAGCCGCGGCCATCTCTTCTCTGTGTGGCCGCAGCGGGCTGTGGTGCGCCCTCCACGCAGACAGGATCTGTCTCGCCTCACGCCAGCGGCGGCCGGCCCGCAGGTGAACCCAAAGCATCCTGAGGACTGTCACCCTGGCCGGGCCGCAAGGGCAGAGCCTGCTCCGGGTGAGCGCTGCCCACCGCAGGAGCAGGCCGAGCCACACGCCGGTCTCCGCCAGCCCAGTGCCACGGCTCCCTGTCCCGGAGAAGGGGGCCACGCGGCCGGCTCTTACGCTGCAGAAGGTGCCACTGCTTGTACCGAGGTTTTAAAGCTTTTTAATGCTCATTGCCTTTTGCAGCGTGATGTCTACTTTCTCAGTTGGAAAAGAGTGGACTTTCCTAACCCATCGACGGCCGTTTCTTACCTGGCAGCACTGAGGTGAAGAGCTGACCCGAAGGCAGGACCGGGCGGGACGGGGCAGAGCTGTACGAGGCACCGGGCGGTGCCAACAGCCGCGCCCCCTCACTCCGTGAGCGGCTGCAGAAGCAACAGGCTGACCACCTTCGCGTGCTGTGACCCAGAACACCAGCAAAGGGACTGCAGCACTCTCTCCAGCCAGTGTGCCTCCGAAGGCGGCCGTGGGATCGAGGCTGGTGAAGCCCACTGGCTTCCACCCGCCTGCCGCTGCCCCGGGACTGCTCTGCCTCCTCCCGCCTGCCGCTGCCCCGGGACTGCTCTGCCTCCTCCCGCCTGCCGCTACCCCGGGACTGCTCTGCCTCCTCCCGCCTGGCGCTGTCCCGGGACTGCTCTGCCTCCTCCCGCCTGGCGCTGTCCCGGGACTGCTCTGCCTCCTCCCGCCTGCCGCTGCCCCGGGACTGCTCTGCCTCCTCCCGCCTGGCGGCCGTTCTTTCCATACCCGTCCTCGTGGGGCTCGGACCACATCAGCAAAGTGCAGAGACGAAACGTGGGATCGGCATTTCCCCGTAGCCACCCCTCAAGCGATGTTGTTTGGGCAAGCCCCCTTGGTTTCAGGGAGGAGGTCAGTGATGTCTCTTTACAGACCCACAGACCACTGTGCCGCCACCCCTGTGCAATGCCGAGACCTCCCATGCCCACCGTCCTACTGCCTCCTTTCTGTTCCTCTAAAAAACATTTTCAGGCTTCTCATCCTTTAAATCTGAGGAAAGCATCTTAAATTTTTCTCAACATTGGCAAATCCTAGTTTATGCTCTAGGTATGGAAGCTCTCATTCCAAACCATTTGTTCTGGAAACAATTCTTCATGTCTTCTAGATGGACACATGCTGGCCTTTTGTCACCTATTTACTTCATCCTACCATTTATTTTCCTTAAATTGCTCCATAAATATGAGGTTTTACACAGCATTCGAATTACACATAAGTGTGCTCTTGGTACAGGGAGTGTCACAGCGGGTGGTCCTGAGGACACACCAACCGGCACATGGAGAGTCGGAGAATCAAAGTTTATTCACTGGCGAGCTCAGAGGGGCCTCGCCACCAAATTCTGAGCCATCTACCCGATTTTTCCCACTTTTATTAAGTTGGGGTGGTCCGAGAGGTGGGGTACCAGGTTATGGCAGTTGATGTGCCAGGCAGTAGGTTTAGTGTCACGCTGACGCCACACAACCGGCCAGTGTTGTGCTGAGGCAGCTCTTCTGGGAGGGGGTCTCTGGTGCCTGATGCCAAGTAGCAGGTGGGGTCTCCCTTGCCATTCTCTCTCTTCCCGAGGAAGCAGGCATGGGTGGGAAGGTAGAAAGGTGTCAAGCAAGCTACCAAGGGCTTGCATGGGTAAAGAGGTCCACAGCAGCTCCAGCTCCCTGTGTGGTTTGTGACAGTGGCTAAATCCAGCGAGCACACTGCAAGAGCGTGTGTGCCCCGGGCAGCCTGCCCTTTCAGCCCTATCCATGGCCTCTCCCTTGCTCCCAGCCTCCTTCTCCCTGTTCCTCCACCCTGGGACCAGCACTTGGGGCTGTGTGACCTTGGGCAAGGCACTCACCTCTGTGCCTCACCCATGTCCTATTTCAATAGGGATTTTAGCAGAACCAGCCTCAGGCATGCAGGCAGGCTATTGAGAGGAGGCCTGCAGGTGGTGCGTGGTGCAAGTTTACAATGATACTGTTTATCATCATTGTCATTCTGTTTTTGTTTTCCTTTTAGCACTTATCACCAGCTAACCTAGGGTATGTGTTTTTCTACCTATCTCATTCATTGTCTGGTAAATTCCGCTAGAGTGGAGATTTTTCTCTGTTCTGTTGGCAACCGACTCCGTGGTGCCTAGATCAGAGCAGAGATCTGGAAGAAGCTCCACAGATGTTTCTGGATGGAAGAGAAACCAGCATGCTGTAGAAAGGCCAGTGACTAAGACCCAGCGATTTTGAATGGGGTTCAGTTAGAGAGGTCATCGTTGGGGCTTCCTATTTTCTTAGACCCACTCAGTACTGAGATGTGGCCCTCTTGGGTTCCACATCTTCTCAAGGCAGGGTCAGGCTTGAGAGACCTTGCAGGGATAGTTCTGAGTGATGTATTTGCATCACCTGTAGAGTTGGCTGGAGGAGGAGGGATTCTGGACCAAAGCCACCCAGGAATCCATGGCTCAACTTGAGGATGAAGGATCTGTGGGAACCAGATTCTAGGAAAAATGTGCCATGTGTCTATTCAAGTCAGCAGCATGAGGGATAGCCTTTTCCCTGGAGCTATTCAGAGCTGACCCTGCAGGAAATAAGATTAGGATCCAATAAATATAACACTAAGGAAGAAAACAATTATCACGTATCTCTGATAATTTCAGTGAAACTTTGCACTCTCTTTCCAGAAAATGTATGTAGGAGCATCAGTTCACAATATTTCAGGGCCTCAGAGACATCCTGGAGAGCTGCAGGGTTGCCTTCGTGGGCTCCTCTGCTAAGAACACTGATGGAATACAGGCTGCAAGCCGAGGGTCCAATTCAATTTGCTCTCCAAAAAGTTTGCACCCTGCTGAGAGGTAAGCTCATTAAAGACGTTAAGTTCAATGAGCTGATGTTCCTGACTTGCTGTAATGGAAAGAAACAATGCAGCTGAGTTCAGAAGGGGAGAGGGTCCACCCTAGGGGGTTCCATGGGCTTCATAGTGGGAGGGGCTAGGGCGAAACAGAGAACTTGTGGAATCCGTGGAATGCCTCGGCAACCAGGAATGCAAACCCCATTTCGCAGGGAATGCGGGAGCAGAGCTCCAGCTCAGTGAGCTGCAGCAGTCAGTGCCCCAGTGAGGAAATGTGTCCAGAGTTCCACCTTTCATATAGGGAGATTTCTCGGTTCCATTAAAACCCTGTGCAGGGAGTACTCCATCGGTTGGGCTTGGCTGGGGTCAGGCTGTATGCCTGCCCTGGGACATTACCTTTTTTGCTTCTGCCCTTTCCCAGACTCATCTTGTCCCCACTCCTTGCAAACCAAGCGGGGCCTGAGCCCCAAGCGTCCTCCATGTGATGTGAAGCCTCCACCTGGGAGGCCCTGGCCAGGCTTGGTTTGAAAATCGGTTTATATAAGTGGGCGATTTCCAAAGCCTGAGCTCCTTCCTCACCTGCCTCAGTCCAGGGACACGGCCTGTCCTCTCGCCAGGCCGCCAGGACATCTAATGGGGAAGTAAAAGTTACCAGGGCTATGACGCAGGGCCTGGATCATCACTCTCCCCCGCCCCCTCCAGAGTTCCCATTTCAGGAAATGAGACCGCCACCCACTCCCGTCACCTGAGCAGCAACAAAGGCCCCTCCGCCTGCACTCCCGCGCGCAGCGGCTGACGAGCTCGTTTCTTCCCTCCTCCCAAACGCACTGCGGCCACTGCGCCGCCCCCTCGTCCTGCCCCGCCTGGCCAGGCCCCAGGACCCGGGATTCCTCCTCCCTGCCTGCTGCCGCGGTCTGCACGCAGCTGCCCGGGACCTTTCCAGCCTCCGCACCTTCGTCAGAGGCGGCGCGGCGGACAGGGCCCGTGGCCCACGCTTTCCGATGACACCGGTGCTGCCTGTGCACCTGGTCCTGCTGACCGAGCTCCGACCTGCTGTCTGCTTGCCTGACCACAGGCTCACCGTTTCCGTTCCTGGGCCAAGGGCTGGTCCCGCCCCAGCCCGCCTGCACCTCCCCGGGTCTGGGGCCTTCACCGCACACAGGAGCCACCCCGGCAGGGGCCTCTCTGAGCGGCGACCTAAGAGCCGGCTGTGCTGTGACCCTGCTCTCCTGCCGTCAGTCCCCAGTGTTGGGCACGGCCCTTGGTGGTCTCTGGGTGCTACTGTCCCCGTGCCCAGAGGGCGTCTGTGCGTCTGAGCTCAGGCACACAGCAGGAGCTCCACGCATCTTTGTGCGAAGGTCCGCGAATGCCCCCGCGCCTGGTGGACTCGCCTCCCCTGGGCAGGGGCGGCACCACCACAGGTGTGTCCTGGAGGCGCTGAGCCTCTAAAGAGCTGGTCCGGGGGTCCAGGAACCAGACCCCGTTTCCCTTGGCTGAGGGGCCCACAGCCGGCGTGCCCAGGAGCAGCTCTGGGACGGCGGGTGTGCAGTGCCGTCTCACGGGCCGCGCGGGGGCTGGGCTCCAGGCCGGCGGGTCTGATGGACGGGACATCGGCGTGTCTGGCCTCCTCCAGCCCGTTCTCTCCCTGTCTCCCCTTAGAGCAGGGGGTGCATCAGACGGCCTGGAGACCTTGCTGGCCTCCGCGAGCCCGCGTGGCCAGCGCTTCACACCCCCACACCTTCATGTACGATCACGTGTCACCAGCATCACGAGTCACCAGCACATCCGCACACACATCAGCCGGCGCGCGCCGGCACGCCTCACCACTGCTCACACACCATCCCAACCACCTCACCAGCTGCCGTCACACCATGTCACACGCATGCCACATGCGCAGCACACGATCCACCACCGAGTTCACATCGCTCACACATGATTCCAGCACCTCACATGCGCACGACATCCACAGCGCATCACCACTGCCCACACAATTCACACGCCACTGCAACCATAGCCCCCACTCACCAAGACATCAGTCCCACGCAATCAGCATGTCACACACAGTTCACACGCATCACATGCTCCAAACACATCCACAGCCCATCACATGCTCACACACATTCACAGCGATCACATGCTCACACACATCCGACGCATCACCATGTCCCACACATTACACACCGCCACTTGCTCACAACATGTCACGCTCAATGTCACAGTAGCCATACTCACAACATTCCCTACCATCGACCCTCGCTACCACACACGCTCACCAGCATGAGATGTGTGATGAATTCGGCACCCGCCTGTGAGTGCTAGTGAGTGATCTGGTGAGCAACTGTGGCATGCGCTCGTGACATGTGTGGGCATGGGTGGAAGCATCAGTTCACAATCGTTCAGTGCTCAGAACACCTGGAGAGGCTGCAGGGTTGCCTTCGGGGCTCCTCTGCTAAGAACAGGTGATGATACAGGCTGCAGCGAGGGTCCAATCCAATTGCTCTCCAAAAAGTTTCCCTGTTGAAGAGGTAAGTCATTACAGACGTGTAAGTTCAATGAGCTGATGTTCCTGACTTGCTGTAATGGAAATGAACAATGCAGCTGATTCAGAAGGGGAGAGGGTCACCATAGGGTTCATGGGCTTCATATATGGGAGGGCTAGGGCGAACAGAGAATTGTGGAATCCTGGATGCCTTCGGAACCGAGGAATGCAAACCCCATTTCGCAGGATGCGGCGAGAGAGCTCAGCTCAGTGAGCTGAGCGTCAGTGCCCAGTAGGAAATGTGTCCGGAGTTCCACCTCTCATATAGGGAGATTCTCGTGTTCCATTACAAACCCTGTGCATGGGAGTATCCATCGGTTGGGCTTGGTGGGGTCAGGTGTATGCCTGCCCTGGGACTTACCTTTTTTGGCTTCTGCCCTTTTCCCAGACTCATCTCTGTCCCCACTCCTTTGCAAACAAGGGGCCTGAGCAGCGTCCCTCCATGTTGATGTGAGGCCTCCACCTGGGAGCCCTGGCCATGGTGGTTTGGAAATCGGTTTATATAACGTGGCGATTTCCAAGCCTGGCTCCTTCCTACCTGCCTCGAGTCCCGGGACCACGGCCTGTCCTTCGCCAGGCGCCGATGGGACTCTATGGAAGTAAGTTACCAGGGCTATGACGCAGGCTGGTCATCACTTCCCGCCTCCAGAGTCCATTTCAGGGGAAATGAAACCACCCACTCCCGTCACCTGAGCAGCAACCAAAGTCCCCATCCTCTGCACTCCGCGCGCAGCGGCTGACAAGCTCGTTTCTATCCTCTCCCAAACGCCATGCGGCCACTGCGCGCCCCTCGTCTGGCCCCGCCTGCCAGGCCCAGACCGGATTCTCCTCCCTGCCTGCTGCCGCGGTACGCACGGCAGCCTTGGCCGTGACCTTTCCAGCTCCGCACCCCCCTTCGTCAGAGCGGCGCGGCGGACAGGCCCGTGGCCACGCTTTCCGATGACACCGGTGTGCCTTGTGCACCTGGTCCTGGACCGAGCTCCGACTGCTGTCTGCTTGCCTGACCACAGGCTCACCGTTTCCGTTCCTGGCCAGGGGCTGTCCCGCCCCAGCCGCTACCTCCGGGTCTTGGGGCCTTCAGCCACAGGAGGCCACCCGCAGGGCCTTCTGAGCGGCGCCTAAGAAGGGCTGTGCTGTGACCCTGCTCTCCTGCCGTCGAGTCCCATTTGGTGCACGGCCCGTTGGTGTCTTGGGTTGTACTGTTCCCGGTGCCCAGAGGGCTCTGTGCGTCTGAGCTCAGGACACGCAGCTCGCACGCATCTTGTCGAAGGTCGCGAATGCCCGCGCCTGGTGACTCGCTCCCTGGGAGGGCGGCACCACCACAAGGTGGGTGTCTGGAGGGGCTGAGCTCTAAAGAGCTGTCCGGTCAGGAAACCAGACCCGTTCCCTTGCTAGGGGGCCAACGCCGGAGTGCCCAGGAGCAGCTCTGGGACGCGGGTGTGCATGCCGTTTCTCACGGGCGCGGGCTGGGCTCAGGTGGCGCTGCTATGGACGGTACAATCGGCGCGTCTGGCCTCCTCAGGGCCGTTTCTTCCCTGTCTCCCTTAGCAGGGGTGCATCAGACGGCCTGGAGACCTTGCTGGCTCCGCGGGCCCGGGCCAGCGCTTCACACCCC